AGAGAGAGAGAGAGAGAGCAGAATAGTGGTTATCAGAGTTGGAGAAAAGTTGGTAGACTGGTACAGAGTTACAAAGTTACAGTTAGATGGGAAGAATAAGTTCTGGTGCTCTAGGGTGACAGTAGGTAATAAAATTGTATAGTGTATTTCAAGATAGCCAGAAAAGAGGATCTTGAATGGTATAACCACAAAGAAAGGATAAATGTTTAGATGGTAGATATGCTAACTATTCTGATTGGATTATTATATATGCATATATTAAAACAATAAACTGTACCCCATAAACATGTACAAGGAGAAAAATGAATTTAAAAAAATTTAAAAAGTAAAATAAAATAGGCAAGGCTACAAAAATGTTTTCAAAATCTAAATACTTATCACAAATACAGTCTGTAAAGATTAATAGCCACCAGTTTTTTCCTCCTTCCTGTATGTTAAAGCTAAGAAAGGAAAAAAAAAGAAAAAGAAAACTATTGTTAAAGAAGACAAAAAGTAAAGGAATAAATACCTTGATAGATTAGGTAAAAAAACAGGAAGAGGAAATCAATAAAGATAAAAGCTGGAAATTAAGTAGAAAAAATAAAATAAGGTACAAAGGATAAAAAAGTCCAAAACCTGGTTCTACAAAGCAACCAAAACTAAAGTGCTTACTAACCTGATTAAAATGTAGAAGAGAGAACAGGAAACAGATTAAGTCCAACAAAGAAGATATGACTACAGATGAGGAAATATTTTTTAAATTATAAAATAAGAGGATACTACATGCTCAACTAAATTTATGGCAACAAATTTGAAAACTTAGAAGAAATGGGTAATTTCCCAGCAAAATACAAACGACCAAAATTGACCTAAAAGGATTTGAATAGATTGATTACCATAGCAGCCACTGAAAAGGTGATTAAGGATCTATCCACTGAAAAAGGCACCAAGACCAGATGGGCTTCACAGCTGAGTTTTATCTGACCTTGACCTTTAAAAGACATAATTTCTAAGGGTAATTAATGTATTTGAGGCCAGAGAAAAAGAATGAACATTCTGTAGTACATTTTACATAGCCACCATAACTTTAATCCTTAAACCTGATAAAATATCTAAGTACACATGAAAACTATTCAAATGTAATAGACTATTTAACAAACACCAACAGCAAATATGGAGGAACACAGAAAACATTTCAATCAGCTTTGTATCTCATGAATATACATAACCAATAAAAAAATAAAATCAGTTTTAGGCAGAGTGGCCCACCAGCACCATTTTTATTAAACTCTTTGAGTTTCTAGCAAATGCAACAGGAAAATGAAATAACTGGTATAACCACTGGAAAGATGAGATAAAACTAAAATAAAGTTCACCAGACTAATGAGAGAATTTGGTAGGATAGCTGAAAGTAAAATAAATATTTTTTTAAATCAATAAACTTTTTCTATTCTAGCATAAAGCACTTAGGAATGGAAAGGGGAAAAAATATTCCACTCATAAAAGGAAAAGGAAAAAAAAAAGCTAATTCTTATTTTTTTTGGTTGCTGGCCATACAAGGATTTGAATCCTTGACCTCAATGTTATCAGCACCATGCTCTAACCAAGTGAGCTAACCCCCCAGGAAGCTAATTTTGAAGGGATAAATATATCAAAAACAGCATAGGGCAGATATGAAGAAAAGGATAAATCTAACTGAAAGACATAAACAAGATCTGAACAGATGTTAATACCGTTTCTTAGATAAAAAGAGCTATATAATTTTAAAACTGAAATATAAATTTAATGCAATTCTAATTAGAATCTCAATAGGGTTTGGAGGAAGGGGGGAGTATAAGTGATCTTAATTTACATGTAGGGAAAAGTACCAAAGAATAGCCAAGAAAATATTTTTGAAAGCTACTGTAATCAAATCAATATGATTTTGCTGACAGGAATAGACAAATAAATGAAACAATACACAATCCACAATTAGATCCTAGTATATAAAACATTTAATAGCTGACAAAGATGGCAGTTAGATTTCCAGGAAAAAGTAGGGATTGTCGGGCCGGCCCGGTGGCGCACTGCTACAGTGAGCCGCTTGGGAGCGCGGCAGCGCC